CTTCCATATTCTATTTTACTTTATGCAGGCCTTGTGTCAGCTACCCTCCATAAACTCAAACCTATCTAAAGCAAAGCAGAACTTGTTCATACTAAGACAACAAGGTGCAGAGCTGGATGAACACAGCAGGCCAAGCAGCATCATAGGAGCATCTTGGCCTGCTGTGTTCATCCAGCTCTGCAGCTTGTTGTCTCGGATTCTGCAGCATCTGCAGTTCCTACTATCACTTGTTCATACTAAATTAGATTTTTCTATTGCCTGCATATTCACTGGTCTGCACAAAGTTCTTGTTCCCTAAACCATTTACTTTGACATCCTTATCTGTCTGTTTGGGAATTCAGAAGAGTGGGAATGGATGTTAGGGCAGTTGTATGCTCCTCCTGTAGAATGTGGGAGGTAAGGGTCACCACTAGTGTCCCCACTGACTTCATCTGCGGGAAGTGCACCCAACTCCAGCTCCTCGGAAACCGTGTTAGGAAACTGGAGCTGGAGCTGGATGAACTTCGGATCATTCGGGAGGCTGAGGGGGTAATTGAGAGGAGTTACAGGGAGGTAGTCACACCTCAGGTACAGGAAAAAAGTAGATGGGTTACAGTCAGGGGACGGAAAGGGAACAGGCAGACAGTGCAGGCATCCTCTGTGGCCGTTCCCCTCAAAAACAAGTATACCGTTTTGGATACTGTTGGGGGGGACGACTTACCAGGGGTAAGCCATGGGGTACAGGTCTCTGGCACAGAGTCTGTCCCTGTTGCTCAGAAGGGAAGAGGGGAGAGGAGGAGAGCATTAGTCATTGGGGACTCCATAGTTAGGGGGACGGATAGGAGATTCTGTGGGAACGAGAGAGACTCGCAGTTGGTGTGTTGCCTCCCAGGTGCCAGGGTCCGTGATGTCTCGGATCGTGTTTTCGGGATCCTTAAGGGGGAGGGGGAGCAGCCCCAAGTTGTGGTCCACATAGGCACCAACGACATAGGTAGGAAAAGGGATGGGGACGTAAGGCAGAAATTCAAGGAGCTAGGGTGGAAGCTTAGAGCTAGAACAAACAGAGTTGTTATCTCTGGTTTGTTACCCGTGCCACGTGCTAGCGAGGCGAGGAATAGGGAGAGAGAGCAGTTGAACACGTGGCTACAGGGATGGTGCAGGAGGGAGGGATTCAGATACCTGGATAATTGGGGCTCATTCTGGGGTAGGTGGGACCTCTACAAACGGGATGGTCTACACCTGAACCAGAGGGGTACCAATATCCTGGGAGGGAAATTTGCTAATGCTCTTCGGGAGGGTTTAAACTAATTCAGCAGGGGGATGGGAACCTGAATTGTAGCTCCAGTGTACAGGAGGTTGAGAGTAGTGAGGTC